CTAGACTGCTTCCAATGGCCCAATATAGTTTTAGGGTCGGGTCATCAACCATAGGTGTCGATATAATAATTATCCAACATCGGTTTTTCATCATCGTCCGGATTTATTGGGTATCAAAACCCAACAATATGATTAAATTTGCTAACTTGTAAATTATGTGGGAAGCATTGAAAAGTTTGCAATAGTAAAAATTTAAAGAACTCATATAAGGCATTGATTTGAACGCCGAATTAGTTGATCAAACAATAACTCAATAAGAAATACACTTTGATACATAATATGAGATGAGGAGGAAGGAATCTCTATGTATAACACATTTTGTTTTCTAGCATTGGATAGAAGATACATTCATTAGCTAAATGGTAAACAGATATACATGGCATGGCTGCATTTTAATGGTAATTACCCCACATTTTTGACCAGTTTAGATAAAGTGCATTTGGAATAAATTGAAATTTGGTTGTTTTCTGTGCAATATCCTCCGATAATATCTAATGTTTCTGTCTTTAATCTCGCAGGTGTTAGTGCAGAAAATAAAGTGGTAAATGTGACTTTAAGCCCTCTTGTAGAATCTCCACGATATAAGGATGTAAGACTATGCGAGCGAATCCAAGTGTCTGGTCTATCAAGACTAAAAGTTGGGAGTTATTCAAGTGCACGCTGGGTCACCTTGTTTCCAATTTCGGAAAGACTTCATAAGAAAATTCAGTTTTGCTTCCACAAGTAAGATAAAAGGGAAAAAGTTTGCCATTGAATTTTGGCATGTCACATGTTGAATTTTTATGTCTGCAGATAATTGTATGTCAACAAGAAGCATTTTGCAGGAATTCTTCACTTGGACTGTGTCATTGTGAGAATGCTAGCTGGAAAAGCATGCAAAATGACGTGTCAAACTCTATCATTTCACAATACGAGGACAGATACATTGATGTGAAGTTCGTTTCTATCATTTCACCATATGAGGACAGATATATTGATGTGAAGTTCGTTGGTGACTTTTCTGCTTTGGAGCCTGTTATCGTTACTGTCACTGTTGCAGAAGGTCATGCTCATGTCTGCTCATGCTAGAGTTTTATGCAATCCTGTTGTGTCATCTGTTTTGACATCTCCCTCCCTCTCTCTCACTGTGTGCAGAGTTTCAGAGATGGCGTCTACTTTGTCTTGCTTTTGGTTTTGTACTATTGTTGCTGGCACCAATTGTCAGTAGCTGGGTTCCTTTTTATTACAGCAGTTCAATGGCTATAGGAGTTTGCCTTGTCGTCATAATCCTTCTCTTCCAGGTGCCTTCATTTATTAGATCTGATTTGCAGTTACTTTGGTTTCCTTTTGAATGATGAATTGATACTTATTTTTTCTTTTCTTTTCCTTTTCTTGATTTTCTTTTCATATCTTATTGTATTGCTATAAGTGCCATTCTTAATGTACTAAGAAAGAAGTCACATATGTTATGGAATATAAGGCTCGTACAAATTTTTGAGCATGAGGTCCAAGTGAAAACTGTAGATGACTATGAGCCATAGCATCTTGTTTCTTATTAAGCAGTTGCCTTAGGTTCCCAAGGAAGAAGAAATAGGAGGAGCCAAATGGGAACTGATCACTTCTCCGAAAGATAACAACCTGATTTCTTATGGCTTAGACAGGAAGGAAATTGGTCTTTTCTTTGTGGAATAAATGGATTGGTTGGGGATATGGGTTTCTTAGTTGAATTCTTAATTATAGAGGAAGACGAGGGTAAATGCAAGAGTTGTACTTTGGAATAGTGATGATAAAGTGAATAGGAACCAGACCAAACCGTTAGGTTTAACTTTGGATTTTTCTAAAACCGTGTTAAAACGGTTTGGTTTGAAAATCAGTTCAAAAACCGGCCAAATAGGACCGCTTACACCCCTACATTGTACTTTTTGTTCCATTTTTGTGCATTATTAATTTACATAAAATGCATTACTGGACTTTAAAGAAAGTCAATAATATTAGTCTATTAGTGGATGACATTTTTGGAAATCTTAATGCCATCTTTATTGTGTTATAATTACTAGCTTGCATTTGGTGGATCCAGAAGTTGTCTTGTCAAGTTGATTTATGAGCAGGTTTTCCGAACTCTGCCTCATCAAGCTTGGAAGTTGCACCTTTATGTGATTGTTAATATTTACGCCATCTTTGTTGCCTGTGTACCTCTAGATTATTGAGTTTTAATATTTTTAGGTAGTAGTTGTATTAGCCAAAAGGTGAACAAGTGTTTCATTTTTTGTTTGTCGCATTCTAGCTGGTTACGGTTCTTTTCTTTACAGTTACATTTTTGCAAGTGTATACCTCCATTCAATATGGAGGTATCCTCATTGGGAGCTCTGTTCTGCTCTTCTTTTTTTAAGCAGTCAATGTTGTTGTCCTTGTCATTAAACAAGCCATGCCTTTGCTTTTGCACTATTGTGCAGGGAATGAAATTGTTGCCAACTGGCAGGAAAAATGCTTTTTACCTCATGATATATGGTTCAGTGGTCAGTATTCCTTTGTGCTCTCTTTCTCAGATTGTGGTATGTATAATCTGTTATTCGCATAGCTTAGGCTGTACTGTTTTCCAGCTTGGTGCAGGATCTTATCTAGTAAATCAATTCTTAAAGTTTGTCAACTCTATTCTTGTCAATTTTGGGATCAGTCAAGAGACGCACAATCCTGTAAGCATTCATGCCTTCCATTTTGGATGTTATTTCATGCAATAATGATGTGATTGTCATGTCTTGTAGTTTTGTAACTTTTGTTGGATGCGGATCTATATCGTTACGATATTTTTATGTAAGTTTGGGAAGGTTGCCGCTGTTCTTCTTTTCTTTCCTTTTGCTTTGGTCATAAACCCATGATATTTGTTCACAGGGAGCTATATTTATGCTGGTTGGAATTATCCTTGCTGGAGCTGGTTGTGGATATTGGCTTGTACGGAAATTTGTTGTATCAGAAGATGGAACTGTAGATGTCGGCATAGCTCAATTTGTAAAATGGGGTATACGGATAATTGGCGTGACCTCTATTTTCCAGGTTGGTTTTCAATGCACTATTATGACGTGAATAATGTTTATGGGATGATGGACTCATGCATATTTACTACGATATGGATAAAGAAGCTTTTCTGGATATGCATACAAATCTGTCTGTATTTTGGTTTCTTAGTCTTTTAGGACATCACATTTTCTGTTTATCGACCTATAAATAATTCTTGCGGATAAAATACTTGATTATATCACTTGATCACTTGATGAAATAGTAACCTATTTCTCAAATAAGATGCATCTGGTTGCTCATGCTAATTCAGTTTGATTTTTAAAATTATTAATGGGATTATAGTCAAAATGTCCCTCTTCATTTTCTTTTACTTAAGGGGAACTTTTAGTTTGTGTTTCTGCTATTGATTTTTTTGACTTGCTGATTATATCTTTTACATGGATACTTTTGTTTTTGAATTTCTATTGTTTTGACTAATTTACTTCAGTGACATTCAATGCCAGAGCACATGTGATACTCCTTTGGCAGTGGTGCTACTTGGTTCTTCTTTGGCAACTTACTACTCTATTACTTCCAGGAAGTGGCTTCGCCCAAGGTAAGCTCGTATGGTTATCATTCATCACCCTTTTTGTGTCTCGACACAAATAATTTGTATTCCCTTTATATTTTCACTTGATCTCTCTCAATCAACCGATGATTGCTACCTGTACTGTAGAGCATATTATAGGATGGTTAATGGTTTCTGAAGATTGCAGTTTACTTGTGCTATTAGTGTACTTAGATGAGGCATTTCATGGATATTTTAATCCCCACCAAAACTGGGGCTATATGTGTTGCTAGAAAATGTTTTTTTTATTTTTAAGCCCATGTTTGGGCTCCATTTTAATTTTAATATATTTTTATCTTTCTTCTTTTCAACCACACATCCTTCAATAAAATAATATTACACGCAAATCCAAAACTTCCTTCTTCTTTAATCATACATTCTCCAAAAAATTACTATTCCAAAATGAATTAATCTAAATGTACACAATGCTTTACCAAATGGATTACACCCCCTCACATGTGAGGGGGTGTGTACATCTAGCCCCTGTGTGGTACTCATTAAAATTTTCATTCTCATTCTTCTACTCATTTTCAACCACACATTCTTCTTTAAAATAATATTTTCCATCACATCAATAACTTTTCCTTCTTTTTCAACCACACATTCTTCATCGATCTACTATTCCAAAATACATTCTTCCAAAATAATATCCATGAAACACACCCCTAGCATATGAAGTGCATATCCCTTCCAAAATACATTTTTTCCAAAACCTCATTAAAAAGGAGCCCAAACAAGAGCTATGACTATTTGTTTGTTCCAGTGCAGGGAATTTACATGTTCTGGAAACAGGAGCTCATGGTGATGGAGTAATGAATGAGCAAACAAGAACTGTAAGCAACGTGCAGAGTTCTTAAGCAGGTCTGGAGCAATGAAAATTCAAGGAGCTCTATGGAATAGCCCCAAGAGTCCATCTGCATGGTCCGATTCACCAGTTAAAAGTACATGTTGGAGATCCCCTTTCCTCCCTTTTTACGCTCCTTCGTTACTACATATTTTACTCCAAAATGATATGTTTGTATATTAATGGCCATATATTTATGTAGAGTAATTACAAGCATAGAAAACACCGCCTCTATGAATAATATGGTTAAGTAATATATCTCCGATCCCGCTCCCATTGAGTACAATCTTTAGTTTTTGACCTTTTTTTTGAATTATATTGTTCAATACGTTTAATATTATTCTCCTGGATTAATTTTACTCGAGTATTTCCTAGACCAAATTCTGAACCAACTTGATGTAAAGAGGTGTGTATATAATCAAAAAATTCCATTTTAAGATGCTTTTAATTCCTTGTACAATTAGACAAACTACTGGAGGCAGATTTGTTAATTTACAGAATATATAATATAACATACAAACTTGGATTCAAAAGTACATATCAAATACATCATAATCATACTGATGAGTTGATAAACAAGATAAACTGCGGAAGGTTTTCCAAAAGTAACGTGAAAATGGCACCAAACACAAATAATAGAAGGAAAGCAAACAATATCTTTCCAATGTACAGAAAACTCAAAGCCGAATGTGATGCGCTCTTCATAGAATGTGATTCATCAACACCCTGCAAAGGTGCCAGTTTTTCATTAGGCCAATAGTTTGTGCAACTATGAAATATCATAAAGCTAGAGATTTAGCAGCAAGGCTGAAATATTTGGCTTCAGTTAAGAAAAAATACTTGGAGGAAAAAGTAAAAGGAGAATACATTATCGTGACTTTCAATCACATCCCGACTTGTCTATGAAATTACAAATTGAAACTGTACTTTGTGTGACTGATGCTATACTCATATAGAGTAAGACTTGCTAACAAGGAGTATATTCAAAGGTCAGCAACTAAGTCACACCCAGTACTTACGACTAAATTTCAGATACACGAATGATGAACCCTTCAAGAGACAGCAGTTTTTATTCCTAATACAGATAATAATCCTGTGCATCAAATGATATGAAATATTACCAACAACATATCATGTACTAAGCAAAACAACTGTTGTTTTCTTTACTTTCTTCTCTTCGTTGTTGGGGCTGATAGGGCTAATGAGAGGATGACAAGAAATTTCTAATAATCTAGTCAGGTTCAAATGGAAGATTTAGGAAATTGAGTATTCTAACACTAGTTTCTTGTCCTTTTCCTACTTGCACAGTTTTTGAGGAAGTCTACTTTAGCAAGACGTCAAAATTCAACGGTAAAAGATTGCGATTGGATAGTTCTATTTCATCTATTTTGGCCACAACTTCAACTCATTAACTCTCCACAAGCCCTCCATCTAGTATTAAGAACTAAGAACAAAGGCACTATTAAGACAACAATATACTTGTTGAGCGCTTTTATTGAGGAAGATGTTTTGTGGCAAAGAATTAAAATTGATATTTGCTATGGTCTGACGAAGGATAATTTTCTTGACATCTATTCACAAACAATGCGTTAAAATCTGGAACTATAACTCCCATATCATCAAAGACATAAAATTTCACATGCCAAACTATATAAAGTTATAACCATATCCATATGATCGAGGAACTGTGCCAGATTAATTCTTTGCTTATTTCTTCTCACATTTTAACTCTTACCTACGCAATTGGAACCTCAAATCATGGTCTATGAGTTACAAGTTCTTAGTAACCTAAAATATCAATTGCACAAAAGCTAACACTAACATAAATTCAACAACCCCTTGGCCTTTCTAAGCTAATACTTAGAGCAGATCTTACTATTCATGAACTTTCTTCGTCCCTCCTCTATTATCTAGTCGATCACAAATTCCAGAAAAACTCATAAACATAAAAGATTCGAACCTCGGCATCTGCTTTCTGCGCTCTTGTAGGGCGAATGTGTACTCCAGTCACATCATCTATGACAAGAAAGCCGTATAAACAATCAGAAAGAATTTTCAGTTTTAGGAAATTTCTACACCAAATCACTCTTGTACCAACCCAACAATACTTGTACTGATTGAAAAATCACTCATTATCGAGTTAAGTGTTGAATAAAAAAATTAATGTAAATAAACTCTCTAAAAGGCTAAGATAAATTGTGCCAGTGTCAGGTCTATTTATGGAAAAACTGTGCAGCAAATAAATTCTCTAACATCTTAAGCTTCTAAAATGATAAGATGGCATGGTTAAGAGCATGAGACAAGTGAGAGTACACATCACACTACCATTTCGTTCAACAACAGTTTGCAATTTCCAACCGGGCCCATAGTCTACAAGAACAGATCTAGGGCCAAAGCTAACGGGTTCCCCTTCCTCCCCTTCTTTGACTGCCTCAATATGGGATGCCAATGGAATATTACCACCACCGCCACCATTACCATCACTAAGAAGCTTCTTATTTATCAAATTCACGGCGAAACCCGCCTCAGTATCCGCCGCAAATCGCCGGGTCTTGCCGGAACTCCTACATATCACTTCCACAAACTGCAAAATTCCAAACACATAACACAAATTAATCGTTATCAACCGATTTATAGCACAAACCTCATGTCGGCATCTTAAATTTTGTTCTACAAGTCCATCTTTTGAGTGCTATAAATTAGATAAGATTACAAATATGCAGCACAAAAACACACAGACAGAAGGGGGATTTGGAAACCTTTGGAATTTTTATCTCTGAATCCTCTCCGTCTTCAGCCATAAGAGGGTAAGGGATGAAAATTTTCAACGTTCAAAATTAGTCGTATTGGGAAGGTTAAGCTGGACCTGGTCCGATTTCTTTGTAATTAAATTTAACATTGGGTTTTAATTTAATTATGAAATTGTTCGAGTCCGATTTCATTTGGTTCAGTTCGATTTCCAGAATTCTATACAATAATTAATTTTTTTATATTTATAATAATGCTACATTAATTTGATTATGACATGTTCTATCTTCACTCTTACAAAATAACGTAGTACAATTTCGTGATATCTTTTACTCATCTCTTTGTTAAGTTCTTCGTACATTTGACTGTTAAAATCACGTGAAGATGAAGATAACAAGTTCACAATAATTGAACGACAGAAACGACACTATGGTAAAATAAGATATTTGGGTAAAATTTAGGTCAATTTGATTAAATTGGGTTTGGGTGGAAATTATAAATAATAAAATCATATTTTGTGTTTAGACTAAATTAATTATTTATCAAATTTATTTTTAAAAAAATAAAATAACTTGACTTATTTAGGATAAAAAAATAAAAATAAAAAGATTTAGTTTTTATTTGGTTTTTCGGTTTTTAGTCTATAATCGAGAATTGAACCAAACCAATCGATTCTCAATTTAGATACCTGTTTGAGTTTTAATTTAAGAAGAACCGCTCGATTCAGTTCAGATCCAATTCGATCTGGTTCATTTCAGGAATTTTGTCTAATCCTACTCAAATGCCAAATTTTTTATATTGCACATTGCAATGGTTAGTTTTAATTTGGGTTTAAACCAGTATTGAAAGTATGAGTAAGTACTATTCTACCCTCAACTTAATTTTCTTACTAAGCCCTTTCTTGGTATCCATTATTTCTAAAATATATATTTTTTTCTCTTATTTTTAACTACACATTTTTTAATAAAATAATATTAAATGAAAATTCAAAATTTTTTTTCTTATTTCTAAATCATGCATTCTTCAATAAAATATTATTTTAAAATGCATTTTGATAAAAAAAAAAAAGTCTCAAACAGGCGCTAAATTAGCATTAGAACTTCAAATTTCTTACATGCTAGTCACAATATTTCTTTCACGGAATACTTTAAGATGTTAACCTTGGATAAATTGTTGTTACTAAAATCAAACCTGTTTTTACAATTTAGAGAAAAAAAATTTTAAAAAATTAAAATTTGTGGCCCCAAAATCAAAGGAAGGGTGGATTTGTTACTTTTTAGAAAGGTTGGGAAAGATAAGCACAATTAACCTAGTGATTTCAATTATACCCATATTCCCTCAATCTTCGTCTCCTTGTTCTTCCAATCCTCCATGCTCCCCCGGTCCACCCACCTCATTTCCCATCTAGTTCACGATCAAACCCCCTCCAACCCCATGGTACGTTCTCCCACACTCCACCTCTAGTTTTCGCTCCATGCTACTTTATTGGTTGGAGATACGACGATAAAATATTTTTCCACTCTCATTTTTTTCTGATTGAAATTATTAAGGCCCTGTTTGATATACATTAAAATTTTCATTTTTATTTTTCTACTTATTTTCAACCACATATTTTTCAATAAAATAATATTTTCCATCATATCAATAATTTTTCATTCTTTTTCAATCACACATTCTCCATCAATCTACTATTCCAAAAATACTCAATAGAGTAATTTAATCTATTCTTTAATAAAATAATATTTTCCATCACATCAATAACTTTTGTTATTTTTTAACCACATATTTCTCATCATATCACTATTTAAAATACATTATTTTCTCAATAATATCCATCAAACACACCGTAAGTCAGTGTTTGGTTCAACTAAAATTCAAGTTTTTAGTAAATTTTGATAGACGCTAATGTTATATGTGACAAACAAATTGATAAAGTGGTGAATTTTTTAAATATTGATTTTGACTTAAATTATTACAGACCTTTTTTAGCTAAATCAAACCGGTGCTATAATTGTATTTTGTTTTTCTAAAAATACGCTAAATTAGATGAAAAGCATCTAGTTGAGACGAACTTGGTACAGAGATTGTAGTCGACTCATCCCAGAAGTAATAAGTTGGAAAACTTTGATATTTAAGCTTCTATTATTCGTGCACAGAAAAGTTATCTTCTTCAAAACTATTGTTGCTGATACTACTTGGTTCTTTGAGCTTCATCTGGCTCTAAATGTAAAAACTTTTGATGTTCATCAACCGCCATTAACGGCCATCTGCAGTGTACCAGAAAGATTGCACTGTGTACATGCAGTAGGGGCCTGTTGGCCTTTTACTGACAATAATCACTTTTCAAATTATTGTTCCTCAATTATGGACATAACACAATCAGATCAAATTTAACATGTTCAGACTCCATCAGGAAAAAAGATGAAATAATTTAACTTTTATTATGATTCGGTGGTTGGCTATGTGAATTCTTTTTCATTGTTTCGTTCGGTTCATTGCTAAATCACCATTACCAATCACATTAGTGGGGTCGCTCTATTGAGTACGGAGTTCTTTAGGTCTATGCCAGTTTGACCTTTTACTTAATTTAAAGTGCATAGGAAAATCCAAGGATTAGGTGAAGTCATGACTTGTATATAAGGAGACTCGTGTCGGTGTAGAGAGGCATTGAGGAAGTTAGTTCCCCCACTCCACTCTCAATCTTTTGAATTTCCTTTTTCGTGATTGAGAATCCCCTCCCTTCCTTCCCCTCCCATACACAGAGAGGGAGAAATGGGAAGGCCTCCTTGTTGTGAGAAAGTTGGTATCAAGAAAGGTCCATGGACACCTGAAGAAGACATCATCCTTGTCTCTTACATCCAGGAACATGGCCCTGGAAACTGGCGTTCAGTACCTATAAACACCGGTATCTCAGTCATCCACAATTAGTCGATTTTAATCTTCATCGAATAAATTATTTTCAAGCTTGTTTTGATTTAATTTTCATTTTTGTTTAAGGTTTGTTGAGGTGTAGCAAAAGCTGCCGGCTTAGATGGACTAATTACCTGAGACCTGGAATCAAAAGGGGAAATTTCACTCCACATGAAGAAGGAATGATAATCCATCTCCAAGCTTTATTGGGCAACAAGTAATGTTTTCGGAACCCTAAATTTTGTCTCACATAATTCTGTAAAATGTCAACAAATAATTATATAGAAATCCATTTTTCTTTTCATGATAAAACCAATTATGAACTAGAATAGACTTGAGTTCGCCCCACACATGAATTTTTTTTTGAAGTAGCTTCGTTACACCTTACATCTCAATTATTTTCATCACTATTTCTGAAAGCTTGATTTCTCCTCTGGGCAACCTTGGATGAACTATGTGAGTAAATATTTCATAGTAGCATCGTTAGCAAGTACATCTGTATTATAACCCTCTTATGCTTTATTTTAACCTGCTTTTTCGGATAGATGGGCAGCTATAGCTTCATATCTTCCACAAAGAACAGATAATGATATCAAGAATTACTGGAACACCCACCTGAAGAAGAAGATAAGCAAGTTTCACTCAACTTTGGATCCCCAAACGGCATCTAATTCAACCATTTTTCAGTTTACGTCCAAGAATTACGCGGATAATTCTTCAGTATATGCCTCAAATGCAGAAAATATATCAAGACTCCTAGAAGAATGGACGGGATCATCTTCAAAAACTATCACTGCCCCTAATGGAAATCGCGAAGAATTGCCATGCATTATCAGCACGAAAAATAGTCGAACTGAATGTAGTTCTTCTACTACACCATCATTTCAATGTTATAGACCACAGGTTGATCAGGAAGGCAAAAATATGATCCCTACTGATGAATTTGAATCTATATTGTCATTCAATAATCTAAATGCCACGGCCTGGAAAAATTTGTCCTGCTATTCGAGTCAAAGAGGTTCTGAAATCAGTGACACTGATCAGAATACCAAAGCCGAAAACAATCCTCCATTGTCATTTCTTGAGACATGGCTGCTGGATGAAGCTACAGGTCAAGAAGTGATGGAACTGCCACAAATATTCTAGTTCAATCAAAAGTAACCCATGGAGAAAATTTGATGCAGAAATGGAAACGATCCGTATGAATTTTCAGAAGCTAATCTCATGCTAGGGTTCCATAAAGTTGGATATCTCTACTGTTTTTTTTTTCCCCTTAACAACTTTTACTTTTACATATTGTTTCTGGAAACACTATTTGAAGCGTTTTATCTATCTATTGTCGTCTGTAATCTTCTGATAAATTATTAAATCAAGAATGAAACAAGAATTTAAAAATAGGTAAAAATAAGTTACTTTTAAGTAAATATTTACTTCCATACATAAGTTATTTTGTCGAATTTGCTTAGAACATGGATCGATCACATACCAATCACGACTACCAGTCTACCACAGGTGATGTAAACCAACCTTGGATATCATACTACAAAGCCATATTAATTATGACCGATGAGTAGAGACGGAGAAATGAATAAGAACATTAAACCTATAGTAAAAGCACCCATTAAATCCACAGCAAATGACAGAGAGTATACATGTCAGAGGTAAAGTCAATGCAAACCCACGAAAAAGTAAAATCAACATAAATTTATGCCACTTTTGCAGGGATAATTAGGAGATAATTTGTGGTCAGAAGATATCAATAAGATGCAGGTTGATGAAAAGAATTTGACAGAAATGCTAAAATGAACAAAGGTTAGAAACACTCATTACAATTAAAATGTAGTACAATTAATAAAAATTAATTATGATGATTATTATGTGAATATAATTATCCAAAATAAGATATAGAGCCTGTTGTTTCCACTTTTAAGCAGAATTCTTACCGTTGCTACAGTAATGAAGCCGCAATCTTTGACCTCTTTCTCTCACAGTGTGTCCCAATGTTTTGAAAAAAAGGGTAAAAAAAAAATTGATTTTTATGTTAAAACAATTTGAAACAAACCGTGGCATAGACCCTTTATTACGGATATGGCTAAGCCGAAGAAGTTTACTTTTTTGTAGAAAGATCATTTTTAAAATGAAAACATTTTTATTTTTTGGCGGTGAAAGGTAAAAATAAGTAAACTATTTAGGTAGATAGTAAGCCAAGCCAAACAACTTCTTTTACATAGAAAAAGTAACTTATTCAAATATGTTTGAAATTAAAAATTACTTAAAAGTGATTTCTCGTATTTTAAGGGTTAGCAAACATTTTAAATCTCAATTTACGTTACGTATATCAATCACCGATGGAAGAAGTAGAACGATAGCCATGGAATATACATAGAAGTAAGTTATTTCTTATATTTTTGAATGTAAGAAGTTATTTAAAAGTAACTTTTTTCAAGGTCAACCAAAAATGCTCCCCGAAATGTTTGGAGCTCGACTCACATTAGAGTTTACGTAGACCAAAGAAGTAAAAATATAGCCATTGTATGTAGAGGACGGCATTGTGTCACGGAAGTCTTGTTGCTGAATAAGGTAAATGCCTGCTAGCTTGGAGTTCCCTTCCTTTCTTCCTTCCACAATACTAGAAGAGGGAAACATGTGAACTCCTTTGACGTTATGGGGTGGGAAGCTCAAAAATGCTTGCTGGATCCACATATACCATAAAAAGAAATTGTAAAATTTCCTTTTTTTAAACATAATATACAAGAATATATAGGCATTCTTATCTCGCATACTTGTACATCTCCTAATATACACGAATATATATTCACCAATTAATGGTATGGCATGTCATCAGTGTTTAGCATAAGCTTATCATCGATACTTAGAAGATCATTTCTCTATGTGCGTGTTACTAATTTTGTCGGTCAAATCTCGTCCAGCATTCAAGTCGAGGGATTGAAAATACATGTATATAGCAAATTTTGTTAGTTGTCATATTGAATTTTATTAATTCTAACTTAACAAATATTTTAAATGAAAATAAATTGATACATTACATCACTTTCCACATTATCACCAAAACTACCCAGCAATAACCACTGGTTGGCATGCATGTGATATAAAAACTATACCTTTATCACGACAGAAACAGAGTTGGATATTTGGTCAAGGGACCATTCCATGCAAAAAATTACAAACCCTATATTACTAAGGCATACCTACAAAGTAAGCACATGAGATGAATTTATTTTCTTGATGACACATGGCACAATTACAGGATGCCACGTAGACAACAAGAGTGCCCCTTCAATCAATTGAGATGGGGGAACACAATATTGCTATAGTGACACACCCAATGACAGGAGAACACGTGTTAATTCATGATTGGATAGTGTGAAAAATAAAAAATAAGCATCCACACAAGTGCTCACACATGTCACCCTACCCCTTTCAACGTCCCTGTCTAAGGATCATTATTCGAAGGAAAATGTTATTAGTGATCAAACTTAATTTGTGGATGTGTCAACAAATATTATAGATTATTTGGCTTCCTAGGTACTCTCAAAACTAAGTAAATTAATAGCCTTCAACCTAGAGTTAATTAATTATGAATTTGACCAAATGCAACAAGAAAAGCAAAATATGGATATGAAACTTAGCATGATCATGAAACCTATAACCTTGTCATAGACACTATATTGTTCTATGCAAGTAATAAGGACTCAGGCTCCGTTCGGGAGGGATTAAAAGCCAATTAAAATTGAAAATATGGCCGTTATTGGGTCCCACTCGTCTAATAAAAGTCAACAATAACGACTATATATTCAATTTTAATCCGATTTTAATCCCTCCCATACAAGGCCTCAATATTGAATCCATTTATTCCAATAAATTAATTGAATTTTGCTACTTTGCCAGATGATTTTACCAGAATCAGGTTGCCAGAATGAGTTGGTAAATTTTGATTGAATGGTTGGAAAATATTTTTGACCCAATTACCAATGAAATGTTGCCAGTGTTAATCTGGCATAATTCTAGTAAAATCAATCTGATAATGTAGCATAACTCAAATTAATTAGAAAACTGAATTTTATTTGATAAATCAAAATGAGTTTGACACATAATGAGTCAATTTGGAAAGAAAAATCCAAAAAAAAAAAAACATCTCTATATAGACATGCAAATTATTTTTCGATCACAAAAAAAAAAAAAAAAATGTTCTATGCAAGTAATAAGGACTCAATATTGAATCCATTTATTCCAATAAATTAATTGAATTTTGCTACTTTGCCAAATGATTTTACCAGAATCAGGTTGCCAGAATGAGTTGGTAAATTTTGATTGAATGGTTAGAAAATATTTTTGACCCAACTACCAATGAAGTTTGACACATTAATGATTCAATTTGGAAAGAAAAATCCAAAAATAAAAAATAAAAAAATCTCTATATAGAGACGTTCTTGCATGTTCGCCCACACAAAAAAAAAATAAAAAAGTCAAAAACTTGATAATGATCGACATTATTCACAATATAGTTTACACTTTCACATCTCTATGTTGTCTAACTATTTATCGAGAATACTATTTAGCTGAAATATTTTGAGCAAGAACCAAATATATCATAGTCCAGAAGTGTTGCTCATAACGAATAATTAAAACTTGTATCAACCTATTTTTACTAGATGATTTGTTATACTGACCATTAGGTCATTACAATTAAATTGATTGCAACGACCATAAGCATGGCATAATTGAGCCCATAATTTATCTTGTACAACTAATTTTAAATGAGTGTTTGACCAGTCAAATTTGAACAATTTAGTTAATCGTCACTCCAGCCTTTTTTTTTTTGATATCCAGGTATCCTAATTTACACCATACTATGTCCTGAACCACCCATTCCCGGCCCCTCAGTGATGGGTGGAGGTTAACCACGGGATATGCCCAAATTGACCAGGGTCTGTACACTCTTTATATTACTGGCCCCAAGGGAGTCTTCCTCCGTGAATATTATATCACCAAACTGTTCCACCCAAATTGAGTATTACAACACTCAACTGCTACATCCAGGAATCGAACTCCCAAATTAAGTATTAGCAGACGTTACTTTTTTGGACGATTTCCATCCAAATATGTCGTCAAATGGGTTTGCCGGACCCTTTCCTCTGGAGCAACTTGTGCCACTCAAGTCTACTTACCACCGTAATGCTATAATATTTGCAATTGAATTGATTGTCCCAAATTGAAATGAATAGCATAAATAACATTGAAAGAACGTTTAAAGACAAAATAAAAGCATCAAATTAAGTGGGCATATCTACCTATGTTCTTGCACCAGCCTGTCGATCATGTGGAATACTTAATTTCAAATATTATTCATAATAATGTCTATTAATATGTGTCGAACGTGCCTTCACCTTTTAAATCATTGTATCGTGAAAATATGTCACACATATACGTATAATGACCCTTTATCTATTTGGAGAGCTATCATAAAATAAAATTGAATTTTGAGCTATTGAACACCTGATTTGATTCTTTTAAGACCATATTTTTTTGGGAAATATCTAGAACAACCTAATAGTATGTCGATTGGCTAAGTGTAAAGGAAAGGCTGACTATGCTGCAGCGTACCGGCACGATGCTTGATGACTTGAGGAAACATCGTGACAGTTGGTATCAGAACACGGTTTAAAAGATCAAGTCATGGCTAGTGGAAATCCTGAGGACAGTATTGTGGAAGAGATAAAATGAGCATCCTGNAAATGGGAATCTTGATTCGTTCGATGTCTCATTTGTACTCTAAAAAAAGGAAAAGGAGTACGCTCAGCCGGTTCTATTAATTTCATTCTTTCATTTCAATTCACATATTATATGTAATGTTCGAAATCGCTGATGGATTATCAATCCTTGTCCAGTAACCATTTTGAGTGGGACATTCCAATCTGGCCCGTCAAATTTTTTCAATGAAAAAACCACAGATTCTTCACAAAACTAATGATACCTTCTCAAAAGTGATCAAATATAAGTGGAATATGTTACAAAGCAAAAAAGCAAGTCAAAATTAGCATAATTTGAGCGATTCAAAAGTCCGACCTCATTGGTGTTTATCAATAGATGTAACATATGAAACACGTGGAGTAAAAAAATGTTCTTATGCATGACTTTTTAAATTTATTTGAAATAGTCCTTTTTCTTTTTCCCTTTTTTCTCTTCATGTTTTTAAAGGTAAATGTTATGTTAGTATCGAACATAAAGCGACGGATGCACTCATTATTACAATTTTTAATTACAACCAAGGTGCTAGTTAGGAAAATCATTTGATTTTTATAAAGGTGCTAGTTGGAAATGTGAGCTACTGGACTAAATGGGCCTGGTTTACCCCTCAACCCAATGTCATATGGGCCCCCAAAATGAGTTGCATTCTGATCCAATACAAGGACTTGTCTTATGGGCCCCTAATAACCTATTAAATTTTACTCAATGGTTTTATGTCTTAACTTTAGCTGAAAAATATAATTTTCATATACTTTTATAAAAGTTAAAAGAATTGTGTGAATAGAAAATCGATAAAAATCACGAGTCTCGCGAAACAACAAATTTTTTGGTGACCAACTTTTGATTTTTGTAGCATCTAAGGTCGAATTAAGTTAAGCCCCTGCTTGGTACAAATTAAAATTNAAATCTTTCACGGGCCGGGTTCGGGGCGGGGCATCCCCACCCCGCCCCGTGCCCCGCCCCGCGACGGGGCACCCCATATCGCCCCGCCCCGCCCCGCCAACCCCGTCGGGGCGGTTTTTTTCGCCCCATTCGGGGCGGGGCACCGTCGGGGCGGGACGGGGCGGTTTTTTTTGCCATCCCTAACAGGGCCTAACTATCACGTTAATTGGAAAGTCAAAATCAACAATAATCTTTCTCAATCTCTCTAGTCCAATTATCATTGTTATCATCGTTGGCGCCGTGCAACAGCCATCCCTTACCTCACTTCTATAGTTCTATTCCCCAAAAATAACAAAGGAGAAGACAAGAGAGGGTAATATAGCAACTGGGTCCTCAACCTTTTATTGCATAGGTGGGTCCCTACTCCCTCAATCTTTTGGAATTTGGGTCTCCAATTTCTCAACTTCATAGCATAACTAACAAGAGGTAAATGAATTGGGGAAGCAAATAGAGAGGAAGGAAACAATGGGGTTAAGGGGAATGAGGAGCAAACGAGAACTAGAGGACGGGTTAAAGAGAACTCATAGTTGTAGGGTACAGATCAGCAATAGTGGGTTGTACATTTTCTTTATGTTTTCGTTTAGTTTCTTCAATAAACTTGTTCTTACATCTTTTACTCCTCCAAACAATATTTCAACAATAATTGATTGCATGTAACTTGAGAAATCCAAAATTAAAAGTTTAAGTATCTATAGCATAAAAAGATTTTTGATTTGTTTGTCCATTATTCATAGACAAGGGACTTTTGCTGTAATAAAAGTTTAAAAATTAAAATTCCGAATATCATATTTGCAAATTGTCAAAACAGTCCAACGAAAGAATATGAAAAACATTTTCAATCACTTAAAAATTCAAAATAAGGAAGGAAAAAAAAAATGAGTGGGGAGTAAAAAGACAGTTCGGGGCACAACCATATAGGAACGGCGAAGCCCAATTTTGAAAAGGGCAAAAACGGCGAAAATGAGTATAAAATAATAAAATAAAAGCATGGTGCACGTGTTCGTCTTGTACTGGACCAGGGCCAGGGGCAGCAGCATACGATTGACCTGGACATTGGAGAAGAAGATTGGTGAATTTTGAAAAAATAAGTAAACATTCATTTTCATTTTAATTTTTAGGTCTGGGTTATGTATCAGTGACTGACTAATCCTATCCCATTATATTACTTCAAGATTCTCTTTTCTGGTCTCAAGTATGATATGATATATTTAAATATTTCCCAGAAAACGATTAGTATTGGAATATTAAAACAAGAGCATCAGTACCCTGTTTGTTTTATTTTGTCTAGAGTTCATTCTTATGTTATATATATGGCATTCTTTCTTGAGTAGATTGCTCAACAGATATAATTATTTTTCCCTTTCTGTGATTCAGGTATTTCGGATTTCTTGAAATTATGGAGTTCTTGGAAACATCTCAAGGCCGATTATATATTGGTGTTGCTGTTGGGCTTATTGCTGTTGGTGCCGCTGCATACGTCATGTTTTCGTCCAAAAAACCCAAAGGTTTGATTTATTGTGGAGATCTGTATTATATAATTCTGAGTGCAAATTTTATTTTATTTTTCATAAATAATCTATTGAATGCTGTAAGATTTATGGATTTCTTTTATGGCTGATTTTTATTTACTTGGATGATTTTTATGAGTAGTTTCTAAGGTGGGTAGGTATTGATTTTCTGCTTAAGGCTAAAGATCTTAAAATTTTCAATACCTTATGTGGAGAGTCTTGATTGTCATTGTGGAAAAATGAAACAAAAATGTTGTGTGTGCTGAACAGTTTGCTTGGATCCTGAGAATTTCAAGGAGTTCAAGCTTGTCAAGAAAACACAAATCAGCCATAACGTAGCGAAGTTCAAATTTGCACTTCCTACACCTACTTCTGTGCTGGGACTTCCTATTGGGCAGCATATAAGTTGCAGGTTAAGTCACCCGACTTGGTGGTTTGCTAGTTATACATAATTGTTGTTTTGAATTTCAAAAGAAGGATCGGAGTTGCATGTTGTCTTTACTCTTTACTTCAATTGCATATGGTCTTTTTGTGCAGGGGTAAGGATAGTCAAGGGGAAGAGGTTATTAAACCATACACTCCAACCACTTTGGATTCTGATGTTGGATATTTCGAGTTAGTTATAAAGGCACGTGTCCCGAGTTTTTTTATTCAATTTATCTGTGTATGTAGATCTATTGAGCATCCAATTTCTACTTTTGTCTCATTTCGTTGGTCTGTTGATATGGATCTTGCATGTTATTAGATGTATCCACAAGGAAGAATGTCTCATCATTTCAGAGAAATGCATGAAGGTGATTCTCTGGCTGTAAAAGGACCAAAGGTACACTTTGTTCTCTCAACTTGAGCTATTTTGCATGCCAATAATGTGAAAGTAGTCATTTTGGCCCACCTCCCCAGGGGGAAGACAAAATATGCTGTAAAGTTCACGTGGAACCTGATTCTTTACTGATATACTAAAAGGAAATGGGATATGAACAGTATTGGATTTTCATTGTTTTGTCTAAATTTGAATTTTTGATGATTATTTGACTCCTATTAACTACATATCACAAAGTCTAGTTATGTACTGAAATAACTAAAATCTTGCAGTCTATTGTGTTGTAAATCCTTTTCTCCTATAGAGTTTTATTGATAGATTAAAATACTCGCTTGAGAATTGGTTGTAAAATGACATCTATGGTTCGTTACATACAATCCTTAGATATGGGGATTTTCACGTCCTCAAAGTCTAAAATAAATTGATCTAGTAAATTTGATGTGCTACTTCATTTTATTCTTAAGAGAAGAGTACAATAAGCCTATGTTTAGTTGAACATGCTTTAAATCATTTATAAGCCTATATTTACAAGCACTCAAATTATTTTTCATCTATATATTTTGATGGACCCACAAGTGCTACCTACTTATCCACTATTCATTTTTATCTATTTATAATTTAAACCATTTATAAATACTTCCTGAACATGCTTTAAATCATTTTATTCCTAGAGTACAATAAAGAGAATGAAAACATTGAATCTTTGCATTAAATCGAAACGTCTGATGTAGTACTTTCTGACGTATGCGTGGAACACGATAATTTCTTTCTGGGGTCTTGACATTATCCACCTCAAAGCATGAGGACTAAGTGCTTGTTTGTGTTTCATTATAAGCTCCTTATAATTTAAAGGTCAAAGTCAAACTTTAATATTAATAACACATTCCATATGATCTACAACTGTTGTCCACTTATCCATCTCCAATTTCTATCACATTATAATTTCAGCAACTTATAATGAAAAACAAACAAGCACTAAATCTAATCTCTAAGCATAACAGTTCTTCAATATTTGGAATTAATGATTGATAAGGAAATGCCAAATTCATCTCCAACTCTATCCCAAGGATTCTAGCTTCCTTGTGGCGTTTCAGAATTTGCATTTGATTGTAAATAATATCCACTTTCCACTCTCCCGAATCAGTAATCGATATTATTTACGAATGCTGCTCATTGAGCAACTAAGCTACTATCACAAGTTCAAGACAATTTAGGTTTCCTCAATTCTTCCCGGCCTCAAGTAAATCTTATAATTGATAACTCAATGTTTTCCTAGTTATATTTATCTGATTAAATTGTTAAACAGCAAGTAGGGATTCAAATCGATATATTTCATATTTTCTGGAGGACACTAACCATTCATAGAACAGAGTTTTAATGTGTTTTAGAACAGAATTATGTGAAAATTGTACTGTATTTTTAGACTAATTAAGTTTTGGAACATCTAATAGAACAATATCCTTTGCAGCTTTTAATGTTTAAGAAGGATATAAGGATATTGTTGCAGTAAGATGGCCCGATTCACTAATTTCGAAGCTATAATTAGCTTTGAATTATTTCTTCCATTGTAAAATTTTCCTCATGATCTTGGAATGCCACATTATCTATAAAGAAAGTAAACAAACCCCCACATATATTTTGGTTGTTCATTTTGGTGATCAATTATTTTTTGGTAAATCTCAACTTCACTTTTACAGGCCTCGGATGGTTCGCCATGCTAAACTAGCTTGGTCTTTTCTCATTTGCATTAGTTTGGGTAAATTTGATGATTTGCGGTTGAAGTAAATTTCTTAATTGGGAACTTTCCTGTACTAGGGTCGTTTCAAGTATCAACCAGGTCAGGTGAGGGCATTTGGGATGCTTGCTGGAGGGTCTGGCATTACTCCAATGTTCCAGGTTATATTTGGGAATCTTAGTGTCTTGCATGAGACATATGCCAAGCTGATGAATTCTTTACCATTACCCAGAAAAAAATAATGATGAATTGCTTATAGATGAGGCTTTTGGTCCACGTCTCATTTAAATTTTTTTTTTTTTCATATGTTCAGGTTACCAGAGCTATTCTTGAAAACCCAGATGACAAAACAAAGGTGCATCTGATTTATGCTAATGTGACCTACGAGGACATTCTTTTAAAGGTAATTCATGGACTCTCTTTCCAGTATATTCCTTTTGAATACCATTTGTATGCCCAAGTTGTCAGTTTATTGAGAGAACCAATTAACACTAGATTGACCCATAAAAGTGCAAGTGTTTTGGGAGAGCTGATAGCTAATATTATTATTGTGAACTGTATTATTGTTGGCGACTGAATTTGTATGGGAACAGTAAGGAAAATGGAGACAATTTAATTTAATAAGCATTAGCATTATCGATCTATTTGCCATCTAAATTTTAAAATTGCGTTGGAAAGGCATATAATGCTTAAAAGATCTTTAGCTTGTATCTGATACTGAGTAGCTTCATTTATGTTTCATTGCAGGAAGAATTGGATAGTCTTGCTACTAACTACCCTGATCGTTTCAAAATTTACTATGTACTGAATCAGGTCAGTCCTCTTTATTCATTTTTTAAATTCTTTCTTTAATTCTGATTTTCTTTTCTTGTTTTATTTGGACTTCATTTGCATTTCGTAGGCGTTATATTAGCTTCTCCTAAATCCATTGGTTTAGCTAGCTTCGATTATTTTACCAACTTTTTCATCTTCAGAATTGGAAATTTGATATAAATATTTTGTGGCTTTGTTGTGTTCTCCTCTACCTTGTGAACTCCTATTTTTATTCTTTATTCAAAGACACAACTGAGTTGTTTTACGGTTCATATATTACTTAATCCAACACATTATCTTTAGCCTTTTTTTTTTCATGACAGGAAAGTACAACGTATGTGCATTAGTATATGTTTATGACTATATTTGTCAAATTTATGCAATGAATCACATGAAAGGCCCTCTACGTAATGTTTATATATATAATTCCGTGAATAATTGTTGAGTTCTTGAGCAAGCCTTTAATGCACTAGAAAGAGGCAACGAGAAAGGCAACCCTGGTCGCTGTTATTTTGATGCACTGATGAACACAACTATGCTTGTATCAGAACGTTACATGTTTGCATCATAAGTGATGAATTTATTGCTCGTTTAATTTTTCCACAGCCTCCTGAAGTATGGAATGGTGGAGTTGGGTTTGTATCCAAGGAAATGATTCAAACTCACTGCCCCGCACCAGCAACTGATATTCAGGTTCGAATCAAGCAATCCTTTTTTTTTAAGTTTCAGTTTTTTACTTGAAATGAAAGAGACGAAGTTTGGTGAAATCTGAAAGGAAACTGAAGCACAAAGTTTATTCTGGTATTGCAGATTCTGAGATGTGGCCCTCCTCCAATGAACAAGGCCATGGCTGCACATCTTGAAGCTCTTGGATATGCCCCGGAGATGCAATTCCAATTTTAGTATCGCATGAGGTCTCGACCCTTTTAGACATATTTTCTTTCATTCTTGGTTGGAAAATATGTAGTATTTTGATAAGCATGATACAATGGGAGGCAAATTGCAATGGATTTTCTTGGAAAAAGTTCCAACTTACAATTTAATAATAGATTTCCCCTGAGCTTACTCTCTTATGAGTTCTCATTTGCCACAAAATATATTGCAATGTTGGTGCAGGTCGAATTTGTTATTATTAGTTTTTTTAAGTGAAAGTGCTGGGTTTTCAAGCTCTCATCTCGAGTGGCAAAGATAGAACATCAAAGTGCCAAACCTTGATGGGGGAAGCGGGCTCTTGAATGAGATACCTAAAGTCCCTTTTTCGTAACTCGTCACGTTGTGTGCTCAGCTGTTTGAATCTACTTAGATGAACATGTTCGACTCTTCTTTTGTTGATGCAAAATAAAAAGATCTTCGCCTAGAGTTACAAAGAAATGTGGGGACTTGACTCAAGAATGGTAGTGCACCACTTAACTAAAAAAACAAGAAACATTAATTTTTTATATACAATCATAGTAACGATACCAATTTTAATCTATCTTTCTTTTCTTTCAACTACTAGGAAGAAAGTGTCAACGAATCATGAGCACATGCATACACGTCTTAGACCATGTTTGGCTAAGCATTCCAAACAAATTTACTCAATTTCACTTTTTTTTACTTCCAAGTGAAAAGAGGTTAATTCTTATTTTACTATCATCTTCAAAATAATTAATAATTTACTAATTGGTTTGAACTTTCATTAATAAAAAGTACTCACTTATTTTATCATAAGTGATCGTTTGATTTCTCGCAAATGTATGATATCGCGAACTAGTAATAAAGTGATGAATAAAGTGTTGTTCTCAATTCTCACTAGGGTTATGTACTTAATCAAGGATAAATTAATCTTAACCTTAATCGAATAGTATTTGTTTGATGAATTTATGCTACCCAACTTACTAACTAATCTATTGAGCTATTTATGAAGGTTTTTATAAAATTATGTAAGATGATTACTGAGACTTTGAATCCCCCTTATTAATTCATCTTTAATGCAAATCAATATTTTATGACAATAAGTATGCATTCTTGTTGATTAATATTCCTAAATTAATTAAAAGCATCTTACAATGTCAACTAAATATATCCACTCATGTAACCTTTTTATACATACATCTGTGAAAAATGCTAGAATATCTATAGAATGTAAAACATAGCGGTATGTCTCTATTTTCTATTGTTATAAGTGCTATCTATTTTATCATTTCTCTTGAAATCAATGAAATTGACAAATCATTCAATTTTGTGGCTAGTTCAAAAGCATTAAACACAATAATAAGCATCTAAGAAATTACACATATTGGACGGCAAAATATTTAATTTATATTAAAATTTTCATAATAATGGTTCATCTACCTCTTAGTAATTAGAAATATAGCCTAGCATTGCAAAATTAGAAGAAATCATTATTAATTTGTAAAGCATCGCCCATATTTTGATTAATTGAAGAAGAAGATGATGAATCTTGAAATATCGAATATCTTCAACAATCTTTTGATGAATTTCACCTGCGTCTCTATTCTTTGCTCAAAAATCAAGATTGATTCTTTAATTGAATGAATTCTTGCAATTCCATTTCCATTCTCTCACAAAATTATGAATTTCGCCTCCCTTTTGATGATTATAATTGATGTATATTGGAGTATGAGATGTATATTCTATTGGCTGCTCATGTTGTGTATTTATAGATGTAAAGTTAAGTCAAAAATTGTGCAAAATTGGTCAAAGGAAAAGGTTACTTACAGCCTGTTTGAGCCATATTAATATACAGAAAGTGATCGTTGTTGTACGAAAGTAGAAAAAATTTACCGTTGCTGCTTCTATAATGTGAGAAGAAGTCAATGACTTGTGGGGCCCATTAACGGATCATTTTTCTCTAAAAATGAGCATATAATGTCCCTCAAACATGCACTTAATTGGAAAAAAAAAATACCAAAGGAAACAAAAATTGTGGGATCGAACTGGCCTGGGCGCTGGGCGGTCGCCTAGGCACCCAAGTTAGCTCCTGTTTTTCAAACTTCGAGTCAGGCAGTCACCCAGTTATACTTTCCTTCAAACTTTGCATTCTGGTCACTCTTCTTCATTCTCTCATCGATTTTGATCTTTCACTTTAATTTACTTCTATTTTGGTCCTTCAACTTCTATTTGCATTCAATTGATCTTGTAATATCTTTAATTTTTATTTTTGTGGTCCGAATAAACTATTAAAATATTTCAATTTAGTCCTCATACTTTGTTTTTCACCCCTTTTCTTCAATTTGCGTTTATTTATTTCAATTTTACTTTCGACTTTCACTTAATAAATGAAATATATAATACATTAGGCCAAAATTGCTTAAAGAAACTATAGGTCCAAATAAGTGTATTTATCAATAAGAGTGTATTTGAGCCACATTATTTTGGAAGAATGTATTCTGGAATAATAGATTGATGGAGAATTTGTGGTTGAAAAAGAAGAAAAAGTTATTTATTTGATGAAAAATATTATTTTATTGAAGAATGTGTAATTGAAAATGAATAGAAGAATGACAATGAAAATTTTTATATATACCAAACAGGGCTAAGTAAACACATTAAACTTAACCAAACATGCTCTAACTAGAACAGACTGACACAACAAAAATTCACCCTTATTTATCACGAAAACGATGGGAGAAGAGCCCGCTTCTACAGGTATACCCTATTCTCACTCTGCTGAAAGAAGAAAACGAAGAAATCATTTTTCTTCAAGGAAAAAGTAAAAAATAAAAAATTCAGAGAGAAAAATAATCCATCTGGCATTCAGAACAATCCCTTTCTCTGTATTTTGGTGTAATTGCTCCTCTCCCTTTCATTTCCTTTCTCTCTGTTTTTCTATATATAAATTTATAATGTTTTCTTGCTTTTTCTTGATTATACCATTGGGTTGGTAATCTTATTTTAAAATCCATCTGGGTTTTCTTTCTTTTCATTTGTAAGCCTATTATCTGTTTATCGTATCAAACAAAAACCCATTTTCTTTTTCATATTTAGTTGAGTTGCTCAGATTGATTCTGTTTTTATATGCAACAAAAGCATTTTAGCTGAAAAATGTAGCAATTGAGATAAAATTACATGATTTTAACTGAGATGTGTTCAAATACTTCCGTTCATACTTTGTTATTTTCTCAACGAGTGCTGCTTTCTTTCCTTTTCTCTTCTTATGTCTAAACCTCTAATTTTACCTGATAATCAAAAGGGATAGCCACAAATATAAGAACTTCTGGTGTTAATGACTTATTTTTCAATAAAGTTATCTCCCCGCAGTGATTTTTACTGTTTGAGTGTCAAAAATGGGACTCACTATCCATAAATCACTGTTTTGTTTTTTCTTTTTTACATCAATATTTTTCGTATTGTCTTGGTTTCTCGTATTAAGATCGACTGGCCGGCCTCTCTTTGATGGTATAGTACCAAATTCCAGGCTACTTGCAAAGGCTGACACTGAGATTTCTGATGAAACACCACAAACTAATGTTTCAACGCTCAAAGAAGAAGAAGGATCACAAAATCTGAATTCGAATAACTGTGATTCTAACAAGCAAGTTCTCAAGGTTTTTATGTATGACTTGCCCCCAGAATTTCATTTCGAGCTATTAGGTTGGACGGGTAAGAGTATTTGGCCAGATATTCGTGCTGCGGTCCCTGAATACGCTGGTGGATTAAATTTGCAGCATAGTATAGAATATTGGCTTACATTGGATCTTTTGAACTCAGAATTTACGGAGAATTTGAGTGAAAAAAGTGCAATACGAGTTAGGAATTCGAGTGAAGCTGATGTTATTTTTGTTCCCTTCTTTTCGTCTATAAGCTTTAACCGGTACTCAAAGCTTAAACCCAATCAGAAAAAGAGTACAGATGTTTTGTTACAGGAGAAGTTGGTTAAATTTTTGACAGCTCAGGAGGAATGGAAGAGGTCCAGAGGAAGAGATCATATAATTCTCGCGCACCATCCTAATAGCCTTTTAGATGCAAGGACAAAGCTCTGGCCTGCAATTTTTATTCTTGCAGATTTTGGAAGGTATCCCCTGACCATTGCTAATGTTGAGAAAGATGTGATCGCACCCTACAGGCATGTTGTTGAAAGTTATGTAGACGACCAGTCTGATTTTGATAATCGTCCGACTTTGCTCTATTTCCAGGGAGCCATATATAGAAAAGATGTAAGTCATCTTTATCTCTTAGATATATACGTTCTTTGTTTTAGTTTCCATTTTCTGATGCACATTTGATCGTTCTTACGTGGTTATATCTTAAATCTGTGTCCCGTTAAAACTCAATTCTCGCTTGGTGACCTAAACTGAGATTGACTAGATTCAGTAATTAGGGAAGATCACACTTAACTCTTTGTTCTATTCAGTTTTCTTGGAATTGGCGTGACATTTCAACGCACTTGACTTTTGGACAAATATGTTTTGGGGGACGTGAGTGCTGCGGAGATTGATGTTTGGGGACATAAACCTTGGAAATTTTGAAGGGTCCTGATTACTCAATTGTAGAATGGGTTGTAGGTGGTAGTTATCCCCAATAAGTATAGCAGAATTATTGAAGGATATATTTTGCTATTCATTTTGTTTATTCTATGTGTGTGTTTGTCTCTCATTATTGTAGAAGAAATGGAGTAATGAATAGTATTTTTTGGAGAATGTGTGGTTGAAATTTAAAGTAACTTTATTGATTTGTGTGTAGAATATTTTATTGAGTAAATGTGTGGTGGAGAATCTTACTGTAGTAAATAATGTTTTGGAATAATGGAAAACAAACGAGGCCTATACCAATCTGATTCATTAACCATCCTCTTTCATAATTGATCATGTATAATTTCAAAGAGGCTTTGTCTTGGGTCTGCTCACTTCCTTCCTACTTTGGCTCAAATATGGGTTGGAGATGGATGTGGAGGAATGACGTGAAAATAAAATCGGGATTGGGTGGTGGTTTCGAGGTTACGAAGAAAATAGGAGCATAGATGAGTCAGTGCAGATGACAAGATACCCTATTCTCATTGGTAAACAAACACAATCAGATGCAACTTTGTAGTTCAGGAGTCCTCATAGGGCAAGACTCGATTTCTTTTCTTTGTAACTATCATTTAAGGCTAGCCCCTGTTTGAGCCACATTAACATTTTCATTTTTATCCTTCTACTCATTTTCAATCACACATTCTTCAATAAAATAATATTTTCCATCACATCAATAACTTTTCCTTCTTTTTCAATCACACATTTTTCATCAATCTACTGTTCCAAAATACATTCTTCCAAAATAATGTGGCTCAAACACACCCTAAAAAACTATTAATTTTCTTTCTAACTTGAGTTTGATCCACAATGATTTATATATCTGAGTTTATAGTGTCATATTATCTGGCAACTCAATGATATTAGAACTCTATAATCTTTCCATTTACTTAAAATGTCAGGTTTACTTGACATTCTATTCCAAATGGATCAACATTTCATCCAAAACGGGGATCCTCTCGACCATAAAAAATGAGTCGATATTTGCACTATTGAAAAATATGTAACATGTGAATTACATTGCTACTTCTTATTGGATGCCTTAGTTGGATTGTTTTCCTGAAACTATGTGATGAGGCTCTCGTAATAAGTGTTATGGATAATGGATTAAGCCCTAATCCCTAATTACAACAGCTATAATAAATAACAAAACAAGGAAAAAAACGAGCGTAGTATATGGATTTATGGCGATTCACAACAACATGAGAGCTATGCCCACTTGCTGCTCCAGGTTTTAAATGGGGAATGAGAATACAAGTTTTTTTGTCACACCTCTTGCACTCAAAAATGACTTCTTAATTATCTTTTATATAGTAGGAATATTACAACCACCTGGTACATGTATGATACCCAATATACTCCTGTAATAAAAAGGTTTGCCACAGTTTGATTAGGCTTCACATAGCCAACATTAGTTGCGTCTCTCTCTGCTTGCCCTACGACCCAGTGTTCTTTAGGTTGCCTTTGATGCTCTCCAGTCTAATCCTCACTCTGTTTTTCATTTTCAGGGTGGAATAATTCGGCAAGAGTTATTCTATATGCTAAAAGATGAAAAAGACGTGCACTTCTCATTTGGAAGCATCCAAAAAGATGGTATCAGTCAAGCTACACTGGGTATGCGGTCGTCCAAATTCTGCCTCAACATAGCAGGCGATACTCCCTCATCGAACCGTATGTTTGATGCTATATCTAGCCACTGTATACCTGTTATCATTAGTGATGAAATCGAGCTTCCTTTTGAAGATGTTCTCGACTATTCTGAATTCTGCATATTTGTTCGTACGACGGATGCCCTTAAAGAAAATTTTCTCATAAACCTTATGAGGAACATTGGCAAAAAGGAATGGACCAGGATGTGGAGAAGACTAAAAGAAGTCAAAAATTATTTTGAGTATCAGTATCCATCAAAGGAGAATGATGCTGTTCAGATGATATGGCAGGCTGTTGCCCGGAAGGTTCCTTCTATAAAAATGAAGCTTCATAAAGCCAGCCGATTTCCTCAAACGAATATCTCTACAGAAAGAGTGCCTTTCTCAGCTTCTCTGCCTCGGAATTTTTGGTGACAGCTCATTAGCCTTAAGATTTTGGAGACATTGGCCATGTCTGGAAGGTGGTGGATTACCCTTGTGCTCTATGCAAATTTTGGGCAGAAATGAAACTATGCGAGCGATATGTGTATTGAAACTGGAAATGTAGAGAAGAAAAGCTCGATTTCAGGCATTTTATCATGGCCCTAGAAATATTCGATCAATTTGTTAATTCATTGCTCACTTTAGGCGGTTTCAACGGCAAGGTTATTGTAGTTTCAAGTTCTGCTCTCTCGAGTGCTTCTCTTGTCAGATCATTCAAAAGCTTTACATTGTGTAAAAATCCTATGCAATGACCATGACATTTCCAATATTCTTACAGTACTTCAACTTCTCCGTGGCCAGAGATTGTACGAGGATGACTGAGATGACTTGTATATGAATGATTGAATCTACTTTGTCAGAACTGGGAATTCCATCAAAGCTGTTTTCTTTCCACTGGGAAACAGTTTCCTAACAGTATCAGCACAGCTTATCTCGACTATCAAATAAGACCATAATTCAATCCCTGTTTGTCTATCACTATTTCAAAAAATTGTTTGCTACAGTAAGATTCTCCACCACACATTCACCCAATAAAATATTCTACACACAAACCAATAAAGTTACTTTACTTTTTAACCACACATTTTTAAAAAAATATTATTCATTACTCTATTTTTCTCCCAATAATGGGAGAGAAACACACTCTCAGATTGTAGAATTACGTTGACAGTTGTAATAGTTGGTTTGGAATCCATTGACCATTTTTCGTAAGCTCATCGAGCCAAGTACACCTTTCATTTCATTGTACAAGTTGCAAAGACAAAAAAATTAAATGAATAAATTTATCGCCCATCTAAATTTAAAATTAATATTGCCTTTTGGTGACCCTTAAATTTTGGAACATTCTAAATACATTTCACCCAATTCTATTTATAATGATGAGGAATTTTGCACTAACATATAATCCCATGTCTACTTTCCAACAATGCGAGTCAAACAACACGTTATGTTTCGATTCCACACAAGATATTTTCTGTAATAATTTTCGTAAGAGATTTAGGCATTACCAATTAAAAATAACTAAACAAGATTCAAAGAAAAATTTGCTAAATGAGGATTTTGCAAAAAGCAAGTCGGCAAGATTTTGTGTTGAGAGGTTGTTGATCAATTGCAACTTTTGGCGAGTTTAGAATACTATAAAATCATATACGTCGATCACTGTAAGAATAAAATTTGACTTTTACGATATTAAGAAATTTTAAATTTACCAACTATCAACTTACCTTATAATATATTAGGCTCGACAATATTATAAGAAACATACGGTAGTATATTGTTCATTGTAATGTCCAGTACGATTTAGTATTACAAACCAAACATGCACTAACTATACATCCTTTACATTAATCTATATTGGTGGACTGCACTCGGCAGACCTAAACCGACCCTACATCAATATTCATTTTAGGGAAATTCAGTCAAATAGCAAAGAACTGAACACAAAATATTCTTTTAACATTGTTACAAGAATCGAATTAGATGAAGCAAATTGACCGAAAGTCGAGAATTGTTTTGAATGCAGAGTAAAAACCTTTGAAAAATCGACATGGGATGACATTGTATAATTGGTAGGGTGGACCGGTGGGAATGACTCGTTGGATCGCATCTACAACTAGATCACGAGTTGTGTACTCTAAGTATCGTCTTTCCCAATATAACTATAAGTGGAAATGGAAATATATGAAGAACAACTGGTTGACTTCTAGTTATATTCTAACTCCATAAAATGTTCTTCAGATGCTTTAAGAACAGGGATTTTGATCCTAGGTTGCTCACTTCTCCCATGATACCTTTCAGTGCAGAATACAATGTATTCATTTTGGTCCAGACTATAGATGTTCTGTCCTGCTGCAAACCCTCCAAGAAGTTGGTATGATCTCTCAGATTGATCCATTGCAAGACAAAGTTCCTCTGTGCCTGTAGAATTGGAATATTAAGAAATGGATTTGCTATGGAAACTGGAGTAAAAACCAATGTTTTAAAAACATAATCGGTCATCGATCCAGAAAAAAGTTTAAAGTCGAGGATCAAAGGTTAAACAGGGTTCAAATTTGGATTGAACTGTTGATGAGGATGAACCAGACAAGTCAGATATGGTGGCATAGGCACATTGTAAATAAGAAATGGAAGTTCGACTCAACTCACACCAGCTTATTTCATTATAACATACCAAACATACTATAAAATACTCAAGACCATGTTTGTTTTGGATTAAAATCAGATTTTAATTTAAGTTAAAGTCAAACAATCAATATTAACTACATCTTTCACGGGTCTCACAACTTTTCAATCACATATTTCAAAAACTAATATCACAATCTACTAAAAATCTAATTTGAATCCAACCAAACACCCACTTGGCTGGATGGGAACACGTAAAAATAATACTCAGATAAATATGATAAAGATGAAAGACAAGATGAATTAAATTACTCACAGGCTGCATGCTCTAATTGAGTCTGGTAAATAAATTCCAAGACTGCTGAAATTTCTTTCTCAAATTGATGGAAGGGTCCACTTTCAAAGTTCATTTTCCTTAATTTACACACTCCCTCTCCTAATTCCATCATTGCTCCTTTATGATTCTGTCCGACAATAACAAAAATCAGAGCAAATAAATGTTAAATCCAAATTCTTTAAGAATTTTAACTTATACTAGGTAACAAAATATTAAAATACCTGATTGAAGAGGTGATGGAAACCCACAGCACATTGCAGAATAGCATGCAAAAGAGTACGTATGGGCTCCTGGGATTTGTTCCAAAGGGATTCGAGAACGTCATGGCACTTGTAATACTCCCTACCGTTAAACAGTGCAATAGCTTCTCGAAAGCTATAGCATTCATCTTCTTCGTCTTCGTCAATAAACCCGCCTCGAGTAGTGATCCGATAAGATTTGCCTGTGAAATTTAACAGTTTATTTGAAGAACAATAAAAATGAATTCTGGGATTGGGAAATAATAATGGTGAACAAGTGTTCGAGATGCTGCTGATTAATGGGAAATGATTTGGGTATTTTGGAAGAAAACAGAAGAGAATAGCCATTGAATCTGTGCCTATTTTTGTTGGCAATGAAATCTGCAGAATTATTTTTTCTGCATGATTCTGTGGTGGAGGCTTCATTTCCCGGAGAAAATATCCATGCAGTTTTTATTTTCTGGTCCCTATATTTTTATTATTATTTTTTTCTTTTTTATCAATACTACTAACCTTTTTTTAGGTCAATTTCAGTATCTTGAAGGATTTTTTTTTCTTACTTTGTGTTCAAAAATACAAAAAATAAGTTTTTTCTATTACCCAACAAAAACAACTTACCTAGATTAGAACATAAATTGTCATCTATGACCAATTTAACTCTCATAATATGCATAGCAGCATAATCCGAATTGATCTAAGTACATATACTGAATTTATGTTAAGCATCAAGTGACGTGACACACTACAATAGGTTGTGTAATTAGTTTTGTAATCAGTCCGAGTGAGAGTATCTTCAAATTTGACATGTTATCTGATAGCCTTGTAATTACTAAAGTATAGTTTGTTTATCTAATGTGAACGTTCTTCAATCCTAGTAAATATAATGTTACACTCTATTTAAGATGCAAGACACGAAAGCAAATTTACATTTCGGCCAAAAGTTTACAAGATTCTCCTTTAGAGTTTTTAATTAATCATTGAATTTTTTGAAAAAAATTCGAAATTATTATATTATGTCAATTTCTTGACTATTTTGCCCTCTCCACTACTTATCAAGTAATGTTAGAAGCCCCTTCTTAAACTTTTTGACAATGTCATTATCCCTAGCTATTATTTTTAATCATTTATCTTTTAAAATGAAGTTGATATACCTAGCTCATGTTTGATAGATATTAAAATTAGACTTTTAGTAGTAAATTTTGATAAAAGTTAATGAAATGTATGATTGAAAAATCGTGGATTATATGAAATGTATGATTAAAATTAATTATTGATTTTGACATAAATTTTAATCAATTTTTTTAACGGGACCAAACACTGGCCTAATAAAATTTTCTTCATTTTTAATGTTTCTATTCGTGTAAAGAAGCCTTTTATTTCACCACAATCTGGTATTATTAATGTAAATTTCCTTGCTTCAAGACCTCATTTTGGGCTGTAAGAGTTAAATGGGCCAAGGTTTAATCGAACCCTAAACCTATCGTGAACCCTACTTTTCGCTTCTAGGCTATCTTTCTCTCGCCGCGGGAACACAGAAAGTCACACTTCTCTGATTGTTTTGGCTAAACACAAATCCTTGCAAACATGGCAGAGAGAGGCGCAGGGGATCGAGGCGGTTTCGGCCGCGGTTTCGGTGGCCGTGGACGCGGCGACCGGGGAGGTCGAGGTGGCCGTGGTGGGCGTCGCGGCGGTCGCCGTGATTCCGATGAGAAAGAGTGGGTTCCAGTGACGAAGCTTGGCCGCTTGGTAAGAGACGGGAAAATCAAATCCATCGAGCAAATTTACCTCCATTCGCTCCCAATTAAGGAGTACCAAATCATCGATATTCTAATTGGACCCTCATTGAAAGACGAGGTGATGAAGATCATGCCAGTTCAGAAGCAGACCCGGGCGGGTCAAAGGACCCGGTTCAAGGCGTTCGTGGTTGTTGGAGATGGTAATGGGCACGTGGGACTCGGCGTTAAGTGCTCTAAGGAGGTGGCCACAGCCATACGTGGTTCGATCATTTTGGCTAAGCTGTCTGTGATTCCAGTCAGGAGAGGGTACTGGGGGAACAAGATTGGCAAGCCACACACAGTCCCCTGTAAGGTCACCGGGAAATGTGGGTCCGTCACAGTGCGAATGGTTCCTGCACCCCGTGGAGCCGGAATTGTGGCGGCCCGGGTCCCAAAGAAGGTGCTCCAGTTTGCTGGAATTGAAGATGTCTTTACCTCTTCCCGTGGATCTACGAAGACTCTTGGAAACTTTGTTAAGGTACAATTTTCTGATTCAATGTTTTCGAGATACTCTCTTTATTACAAGTGTATAATCTGTTTGAGTTCTTGTTCTTTTTACAATTTTGGTTCTCCATACATAGATGCGGCTTTATACGTGTGTAATTCTGTTTTATAACGACCGGAACTTATTTAAATGCATGCATAGATGCGGCTTTATACGTGCACTGCTTTGATGGTTTGTTATTATTTTGTTTGGACTTTTTATTTGGAAATATCTTTGTTTGGCTAGCTCTCTCTATGTACTAATGATTCTTTGATGTTTACTTTTTATTGGACAAATATTCATGTTGTATGTTGTATATGCTGTGCTTGAGTCAAGGATACGGCTTGGGTCAAGGATGTCCCGAGGACAATATCTTTGATTCTACCATATTTACTTGGTTTAGGATTTGTTATCTTGTGTGTTCCATGGTTTGATGACAGATATACTGGGTTGGAGCCAGCAATCGGCGAGCCTGCGCGCCGTCCGTGCTGACTCCGCCGGAAATAAATGGATTATAAAACTTCGAAGAATGACATTAAGTGAGTGTTTGGTGGTGATTAAAATTAGATTTTTAGTAGATTGTGATAGAAGTTTTTGAAATGTGTGGTTGAAAAACTGTGGGACCATGAAAGATGTAGTTAATATTGATTGTTTGACTTTGATTTAGATTAAAATCTGATTTTAATCAGAAACAAACAAGGCCTAAATATTTATAAATGTACAAACTTTAAACAAAATGTCGTGTAGCTAATATGGCATAGCGCCAATTTTGTTTGAAAGAGGCCAGGGTTCGATTCTAGGAACCTACACTCTTTCTTTTAACTTTTTAGCTATCAAATTGCTCAAAGTAAAATTTTATATCACATTTGCAATAGGTGAGATTCGAGCGTGTAATCAGCATGTGATAATGGAATGCTTGACCGCTATGGCAATTGAAGAATTTTAACAATGAATGTCACAAGAAAATATATATAAGGTTTTATGAAAGTAACACAGAATTTATTTTAAAAAATTATTTTTTAAAACTAAAATTCAACATTACAACTAACAATTGAACCGCTGACCCAATGATTTGTACAATCAACGATTAGGTCGGATATGATAACAATGCATAATATATATTTTTATTTTGACATTTTGTAAAATTTAAATTTAGACAATCTAAATACTATTCTTTTTTCTTTTAAGAGCTCGAAAAACACTTTTTTTGAGGTCAAAATAGTTCTAAAAATGATTGTTTTAAAAAAAATTGCATAACTTTCGCCTAAGTTTGGAACTTTTACCGTCTAATCATGCTTTACGTATAAGTTTCATCTTGTCTTGCTAAAGTTCTTTAAAACCTGAAACTTTATCATACGTATATGATTCAAAAAAAAAAATTTCTTGTTATTTTGGATTATATTTTCATTGTAAGTTCATATTGAAGAATTTTTTAATATTATTTAATTAAATATTAATAAATAATCTCGTTATTGCAATCATTAACAGCCAACGACTGCCCTAGCTAAGCCAACTTCCTGGATCCGCCCCTATGTAGATATATAGTTTAGAATATTTTGAAATTGTTAAATATAATTTCTTTTCTGGTACTTGAATATTTGTTGGACATGGAAAATGATCCGTTTGAATCAATCTGCGGGTTACATTATATGCTTTTCTGATAATTGATTATTTTCAGCACATTATGGTGTGCGATACATATCTTTTGCCATTTATATTGATATTTTAATAGCTTGGAATTCCTTACAAGTTTGTGAAATATTTTGGGTCTTCAAATGAGTTGGACATTATATATTTGAAGTGTTCTGGAAATTTGTTTTCAAAGCTTAAGCAGTGGCAATTTATCTCAAGGTTTAGTGAGCAGGTGTGTGACATGATTTTTTTTTGACATTTGTTTGTAAGGTGGTTGAGCCCCTGTTTGAGCCACATTAAAATTTTCATTTTCATTCTTCAACTCATTTTCAATCAAACATTCTTCAATAAAAGAATATTTTCCATCACATCAATAACATTTCTTTCTTTTTCAACCACACATTTTTCATCAATCTACTATTCCCGAATACATTTTCCCAAAATAATGTGGCTCAAACACACCCTGATATTTACTTTCCTTTTAATACATTTATTAGCACCACGCATGCATAGTGCTGTTGATTGGTTATTTTCATATAAACTCATTCTCTCACATGTTTGGTATTGTTATGGTTATAATGTTTCGAGGCAATTGCTATCAGGGCACAGTAAATAAAATATCTGGGTACACCTGAAATTCTGACTTATAATTTACAATGTTGAGATAGGGACTTTTTGTTGTGTGGTTCTTGCTTTTGCTGTGTGGCTTATTTTCAGGGTCTTGAATGATAATAGAGTACTGAATTCACTTTAGAAGTCGAGAAATGCTCAAGAAAGCATTCAAGTTGTAAATTACTCTATTGTTGTAAGTAACCTCCTCGAGTGGTTTCTGCTTTCCATATTGATGCCTCTTATTTATATTCTTTTGCAGGCAACTTTTGATTGTCTGCTGAAGACTTATGGCTTCCTTACTCCGGACTTATGGAGGGAGACTCGCTTCTCGAAATCTCCTTTCCAAGAGTATACAGATCTTTTGGCAAAGCCCACTACAAAGGTTGTACATGTGGTGGAGGATGCAGAGGCGGCCTAAGTTTGCTAGGATGTGCATTACAGAATACTCGTTTTAATTTTGTCATCTGCTTGGAATGACGTTTTATTGGATTTGCTTTTGTGATAAACAAGTCTCTGTTTGTACAAACTTGAATGGAGTAGTTGTTTTTCTCTTATTTTGGGGATTTATTTGCTGCCTTTTGTCTCAGGATATTTTGAATTGTTTCTAAGTTATGAAGTAAATTAATCCGTGCTCTCTGCACATGATTACTTGGTAAAATTGCTTCAATGGCTTAACTTATACAAACGTTTTTCTCTGGTAATATAGTTAAGGTAAGAATTACTCTTTTTTTCTAAGACTTATATAGTGAATTACTCAGTTTTCGTAGTTGGGAATGTTGGGTCTGGAAAGTCTGATTTCATGAAGTCAATTTCATATTTGATAATTTTGATTCCCCGTGAATTGCTTACTAGTTGAAACGGTATCCTGTACCCTGTTTAGCCTAAATTCTACTGTTAAGTTTTTGTGTCCATCTTGAGCCTTCGTTGACCAAAATTTTTTGCGTTATTATTTTTAGTCCCTGTTTGGAGGTAAGGTTGGGTGTTGGGAGGAGGGTGATGAGGAATAGGTATGGCAAAATATCCGTTCGCCCTTTACCCGCAAGGCTTACCCTGATTGGGGTAGGGATTACCCGCCTAACCGGGTAAATAGGCCAGGGACAGGAGGGGAAACATTCTTCTGAAATGGGTACGGAAAACATAGTCTTCGTCCCAGTAAAGCCAGATGAAATATGTGAGACAAGTTCTTGTACAGAAACTCTCAAATTGTGCATCAGACTAGAATAAAACAGCAGTTTTTCCATTAGAATACACTTTCATATAATTGTTTTATTTTGTTAAATAATAAACATTATGAACATCAATTTTTATAGGACATGTTTGGTGCATTGAAATACATAAAATTCGATAGAACTAAAGAAGAAAAACAGATCATAAAACTTGTCAGTTCCCATGTTCAATCTCGTCCACTTCAACATAACGACCGGACCATGTTAACATAATTTTTTTCACGTAGGTCAATTCTCAGCTTGGCACAAGAATATTGCATCAGCATTATAATCGCTGCAGTATAGACAAGGATGCTGTTTAAAACCCTGTATTTTTAAAATCTTCCTAGCCATGCTCACAAGCTGTTTATTACTCAAAGCCTCTGAATTCTCCTTCAAAACCATTTGTACTGCATTACTAAATGCCCCACAAGCTTTTCCTCCATTCTCCATTATTTGGACATCTGCAGAAGTTTCATCTGTTTGGCACCCACTAAGTAAAATTCCTTCATCTGGCTTTACTGGCTTGGTGCTAAAGTCGGGCTCGAGGTCAGGGTTGGGTCGAGGCAGTTGAAACATAAGGCTAGCAACAGGTCCAAAAATCTCCAGCAGGTGCGTGCCAATATCTGGTGTGTTTATGTTTGTTAAGGATGAGAGATGTTGGATTATTGATTGAAATGGTATGAATTTAGGCTTGTGCACAAGGGGACCATTGGCTTCAGTATTCGAGCTTCTTGAAGGCCCGATTTGCTCTTTTTCTTTGTCAATCAAACCCCCGCTGTGACAAGAATCAGATAGGATTGTGAAACTTGTACCTTTCGGCAGGCGATTTACTAGATGCCTAAAGTCCACGCCTACAAAATGAACTCTTAACAAGTTACCTTTTGAGGGAAATAGGTAAAACATTCGGTAAGTAGATTGTATAGTACTAGACATTATAAAAAGAAAAATGTTAAAAGTTTGTTTTACGTTGACCTCCAACTGATTTGATGATAGAGGTCAACAATAGACAATAACTTCCACCATACACATTCATTTTGTGGAAAATAGTTAGGCGTAAAATAGTATCTTTCCCTAACATGCATGTTCTTAAACTTTTTTATGGGCTAGAGGTGGGGTCGAATTCGGGCTCAACAATTTCTTGATCATAAAAGAATGCAGAACTTACTAGTTATAAGATTGAAATCACAAGGAACAATGGCTTCCTCTCTTTTCAAAGAATTGCGCGAATTTATCAATGTTCCATGGCCTGAATAGTGGAAGAATAGGATATCACCGGGCTCGGCTTGATCCACCATTTGATCCAATGCCTTCATGATGTTGGCACCAGTAGGCATCACTGAACTTCCATCTTCATCTGTCAAAAGCTGAACGTGGATGGGGTCAAATCCGAACTGTGTTACAAGCACTTCTCGACTCGCTCGAACATCGTTATGGCATCCATGCAACTCATTTGGGGTGTGTGGATAATTGCATCCCACTAGAACTGCCAACTTCTTTCCTTTCTCCATTAAACAGTAGGGATTAGTTTTTCCTTCTTGATGAACAAGTGATTCTGTGATTGGATTTTGAGTGATATATATGTGTATTAGTGCATATATATACACACAAGAGGGTTCTATCATATGGTGTTTCGTTTGTCATTCTTTCTACAATAAATTGGGGAGAATAGATTTGCTTCAAGTAATGCATTTTCTTAACTGAAATATGTCTTTGCTTTCAAGATATTGCACATGTCTATCTTAATAAACAAGATATTTAACAGAACTTAAAGAACAAAAAATATGGCTCTACTAGAAGAATGATAGCAGCGTTCCCATTAAAGAAAATCGTGAATTCTTGATTATAGTCTTGACATACCGTATTGAATTGTACTATAAAGTCCAACGGATAAATTATAACGTAATTTTCTTTCGAAATCATGTTCGATATTGTCGACTGTTTGACTACTATATATGAAACATACCAGCAATATTCACATAGAATTAAGGAGTCGGAATTAAAACTCTAAGAAAACTAAATCAATTTTAAATAGATTACTAATTCTAATTCTAATACTGAACTTCAATTTTCATTAAAGTTATTCATATTTCTTGACAAGAAATTTAGTTCCATTTCTTTATTCTTAACAATAATTTCAATTCCAAGGTGTTAACAAATTCTGCAATTAATGCAGAATTAGCTGTTGCTTTGAGCAAAAAAAAAACAGAGAAGCGTTTAAGTAACAGGTATTCCTTTAATGATATGGGAGTGTGTAAAAATACAGAACGCTTGCAAATCACAGCTAAAAATCAGATTTTTTAGTAGATTTTGATAAAAGTTGATAAAATAAATGGCTGAAAAATTGATAAAAAATGTGAATCAAATGAAATGTGTGACTGAAAATGAATTTAAAAAAAATGAATTTTAAAAAATAGGGACTTAATTTGTCCATCACGACTAGAATTCTCGTTTTCATATATCGAGTCATAACGTTAGCATATATTGAGTCATAACATTTGATTCTTGGGTTGAGTACAAGAGTTTGATTCATTCCATCTTAAATTTAGCCATTGTTTGATCCTTATTTTTCTTAAAATTCATTTTTTCCGAGCTCATTTTTAATCATACATTTCATAGGATCGACAACATTTATCAACTTCTTAACCACGTATTTAATCATTTTTTTATCAAAATCTACTAAAAATCTAATTTTTATCCAAACCATATTACGTTAAAAAGACAAGTTTCTTTATTCAAATAGTTTCAACACGTCTAATCACAACAAAGCAAATTCATTTATCACCAAAGGGCCGAAAGCACGTTTTTACTAATCCTAAAAAGAAGTAAAAGAACTTAGAAGTAATTTTTGATATTAACCAAATGCATGAACTCCAAAATTACTTAAAACTTACTTTTGCCATACATGTTTGCTTAAGCTTTTACATTTGATTAAATTTTTGCTCTACATGTTCAGATAACTTATTATTTTATTTTATTCAATTTAAAAAGTTACTTCAGTTTATTTTTTAAAATAATCTTTCCTCGCTATCTGAACAAACAACTTGTCTCAAAGAATTTTCTATTCTGAAAAATTATTCAAACAGGGGCTACAAGTAAATTTACTTATATGTTAACTCCTAAACATGCAAAGTAAAATGGACGGCAATGTGATTTGAATATAAAATACCATATTGAAACATCTCATCTAAAAGATTAGATCCTAAGACCATTACTATAGCTTCATAGCCATAACAAAGCTATACCAATAATTTCACAACGAATTAGCAACAGGAAGAGATGCATATTGACAGACAAACTAGAGCCATAAAAAATCAACTGTGCCTTCTGTACATAGGGTTCACCTTATCCACAATTCCCTAGTATTCTGAATTGCAAGCCAAAGAGACAACTGCATACAAACCGACCCTTCATAACCGAAAATGTAAGAGTAGTGCCAGAGGACACAACAAGTAAGTTATAAATCTTTCCATACACTAAAATCGGAAGTTGAGTTATTATAATTTATGATACTGTCCTGGCATCCCATGAAAAATGTGCTCCGTACAGCATCTGCGTTTACTAAAGCATGAGCTGTTCCACTAGAACTGGCTGCAACGGCAACTTCATCAGCACCAATGGTTACCTCCGCATATCCTTTTGCAACTGCTTTATTTTCCAGCTGCCAACCATGAATCGTGATTATAGAGATGAATATAAATCATAACAAGATATCTTGCACTAAAATACTTCTGAAGTTTCCTGTTTTGTTCAAATTTAGATTACAACGAAAATGAGAACTGGAAACGGTATAAGCTACACATAATGAATGCTTGCTTTATTATTTCTTCAAAAATGGAACATTAACATGGGGCTTGCATGAACCTTGCCACAATGTTTTTCTTCGTAAATATTGCCAATGTTGGTTTACTATCATAACTCTGGTTGATGGTCATAAAACAAGTGGAGCTACACAGGAATCAAGCGCGACCTGATAACATTCATGAGCATTAACATGCTTCAAGATTGATATGTTTTTTATTCCAGCAAAGCTAAACCGAGCTTTTGATGAGCATAATCTAAAACCTACAGCCAAACCAATTTTCAAAACATTCATGTCATTCCTCAACTTAATGCCAAAAGAGTTGAATATATGACGCACCGATGCAAACATGTGTCAGACACCACGACGCGTGTCAAAGTTAATGCTCAAGATTAATTTTTTTATTATGCAAGCAAAGCTTAACCAAGCTTTTGTTGAGCGGAATCTAAAACCTACAGCCAAACCAATTTTCAAACAAACATTCATGTCATTCTTCAATTCAATGCCAAAGAGCTGAATCTATGATGCACCGATACAAACACGTATAGGACACGTCTACACACAATTTTTCATAAAAGTACTTAACGACGCATTGCCGACACATTGATTAAATTTTTTAAAATTCTTCATTTATATAGTATAAAATTAATTTTATACTCGTTAATTTTTCTTGTTGAAATGTTTTAAACGTGAGTACCTATTTTTTTATTTATTAATAACGTTGAGTTGACAATATATAATATTTTTGATAAAAAAAAAAAAAACTAGGATAGAGTGTTTGAGTCGTGTTGGTATTCGACACATGTTGGACACGGACACGGAAACGTTACTCTAATTGAAGTGTTCGTGCAACAGAGGAATTGATAAACACCTTCTACCACTATTCCATTTTATCGGAATTTCACCGACGATGATTTTCAACTTAGATCACAAGAGACATATCAAGTTGACCTTTCTCGAAAGATAAAATGCATAAAACATATAAACTACAATGGATGAAAATATTAAGCCGAATTAAAATCAAATTTTTAGTAGATTTTAATAAAAGTTGATGAAATGTGTGGTTGAAAAGTTGTAGGTCCCATAAAATGTGTAGTTAAAATTACTTATTGACTACTTAAATTAAAATTTGAATTTGAATTTTTACCAAACAGGAGCAAAAGTATAAAATAGTATTCATATTGTTTTTTTGTTCCATAATCCCCCATAATGTTCAAAACCCGTTGAACTCTAATATCAAAAAAGCAAGTGCTTTCAAGCAACGAACTCTCCCTTTCCTTCTCCTTCCTCAAACTTTGGAAGAATTGTAGAAAGACACTGTTCCATCATTTGGATTAAAATTAATTTTAATAGAGAAAAACTTTAAAGTAGCTTGAATGTAACCATTCTTTCAAGTTTATACATTTGACAATATTCGTACACCAGATAGCCATGGATTTCAATAGATAGTCGAGATTATTTAATTAAAGGAAATACATACCCTAAACACCGTCTTTGCTCCCCAAATAACAAATGTCTCGTTACAGGTGTGGTGCCTATGATTTCCCCTCACGCCTCCAGGTAGGATCTCCCCCAAATGAACTGAAGCGCAGAAGCTTGCTCCTCCTGTAATGTGACAATTCACTTTGGTGAAAATCATTAGAAAACAGAGACACTCAAGAACATAGAAAAGTTTTGTAGCAAAATATAATAATTAAATAAAAATCACAAATATCATTTAAAAGGGTGGCAAATGCTCATAATCCTCTTTATGTCCCCTTCTAGTGCTTGCGCAGCAACAGATCCAATGCACTAGTATATCCTGTGATCCCCTGTGACAGGTTC